CACCCGCAGCAGCCGGCAGAGGTCAGCCATTAGCCGGGACATGAAGGGGGTCCCCTGATCGGTCAGGATCTCCGCTGGGATGCCGACTCGGCTGGAGACAAAAACAAGGAAAAAAAGGTGAGTTGAAGATTGCTTGTCGGTGATTCTTCACTGATTTGCCCGCATTCTCCACCAGTGTAACGGGGTGAAGAATTGATGAAGCCTCGGGACGCTCGTCACAGTATTTAATTATTACAGTCTTTGCCATTTGATAATTGCACTGAGCCACGTTTTTGGTTTTATTTCGATTAATTGTGCAACCCTAGGGTGGCCTGCTGTCATGTGGGTGTTTTGGGACTTAATTATTGAGCTGTATATGATTCTATAACAACCCAGAAATATGAAGCTATTTTACAGAAACACATTTCCACATGATGTTCCCATATTCCAGAATGGTAATGCTCCCATATACACTGCTAAACAAATCTAACACATTCCGTGACCTTGCCAGTCATCAGATCTACACATCGCTGAATCTCTCTGGGACGTTCCAGAGCGCAGAATGCAAATGAGATTTCCACCTCCTTCATACCTCAAACAACTGGAGGCTTTTCCTCTTGAAGAATGAAGACGTCTCATAATGCATACAATGACAGCATTTCAAAATAAGAATTGAAGCTCCTCTGGAATGGAAAGTGTCTCTACTTCTTATTAGATTTTGTTAGTTCTTATTACCCTTTTTTATGAGATTTTTTTTTTCTTCAATGACAAACCCTTGAAGGGAATCAGCAGTGCAGTCCTTTTGAGTGCGGTTGTGCATGAGGTTACATGGTTTATTGAAATGTCAAGAATGACTTTAAATTCTATAATAATTTTTGATCTCTAATTCGGAGACTTCATGAAATATGTACTTTAAGAATTTGTCACACTGACACTGCAGCACTATTTAAAGGGATAGTCCACCCAAAAACCACCTAAAATCTGGGCACATATGTGTAATTGACAAATAACATATTTATTCTGCCAACCAAAAGCACTGTTTGGTTTGTCTTTATTGTAAAGTGTTTGAGTTTGACTCATTCCCATAGAGACTATAGAGCGATCTACCTGTTATTTAGCCTGCACTGTCTGACACTATAAAATCAAAGTATGCATTTTAGAAGCTGAAATCCTCTAGAGATGCAGCTGTGATGGTCAACTTGAGCACAACATGCGTCTCATATTTCAGTGTCACTTCTCTCAATCTGTCTCTCTCTCTGTCTCTGTATCTCTCTCTCCATCAGGTATTAGGTGGATCAGGGCGTCTGTACGCGTGCTTCACATCCTGCCACTACTGCCCGTGCCCCACCTTCTCTTTCTCTGTGCTCAGGAGAAACGAGTCTGATGGTGAGGTCACTTCCTCTTTCTGCTCACACACACACACACACACACACACACACACACACACTCGCACAGCTGCACTCACAGACCCTGAGACCCTCATCCTGCTTAGTTGATTTCATCATCATTTCTGGTGTTATGCAAATCTTCCCACACAGTGACGTGGACGTGGGGGCGTGTTTAAATGAGGCGTTTTAGGAAGGCGTGGCTGAGCGTTCACTTTTAGAAAGAATATCTCTTTGGGTTTGAGACTTTAGTCTTTGCGACTTTACAGATCTTCTGTATGCACGAACAGCTTTTAACACTCTAAAGACATGAAAACATGAAATCAGATCATATGACCTTTTTAATGTTTTTGAAAGAAGACTCTTAAGCTCACCAAGGCTGCATTTATTTTATCAAAAATATGGTAAAAACAGTAATATTGTTACTAATAATTTATTATTATTATCAATGTTGAAAACATTCATAGTTTTGTGGAAACTGTGACGCACTACAGAATGTTCAAATGTGTGGTGAAAGCATGACTTTTTTAAATTAAAGATTTTAAATTAAATTAAGCAAGTATGCATTAAATTGAACAAAAGTGATTTTAAACATAATATTACAAAAATCCTGAAATGTATCACTGTTTGCACAAAAATATGAATCCGTTTTCAACTGCTGTACAGGATGCTTCAAATGTTTTCAACACTGATCAAAATTAGAATTGTTTCTTGAGCATCAAATCATATTAGAATGAATTTCTGAAGGATCATGTGACACTGAAGACTGGAGTAATGGCTGATGAAAATTCAGCTTTGCCATCACAGGAATAAATGACATTTTTAAATATATTACAACATTAAAACACTCATTTTAAATTGCAATATTTCACAATGTTACTGTTTTTACTATATTTTTGATCAAATAAATGCAGCATTGCTGAACATCTTGCAAAAACATAAAAAAAATCTTAATTATTCCAAACTTTTGACCCCCTGTGTGTGTGTATCTATATCTGCATTTCTCGTTTGCTTGCTTGTATGGCTGACATCAAACCATAAGCAAAAACATTGACAGAAATTAATGATAAATAGTTGACAATTAATATTACCAACTAGTTGACCACATTATTGGATATGCAAAATTATTGACTAATTGATTACTAAAAACCATTTTAGTTGCAACATTACTTACTTTATTTGCCCTCTTTCGTTTTAAATGTCTTCCTTTGCTCTCTTCTTCATCTGTTTTTTGCTATGGTTATTTCCATCGACTGTCTGTTCTTTGATGCTGTGGCCCCTTTTCAACAATGTCTGTTGCCACAAAGCTGCATGTGTATCAGCCTGGTTTTGGGCCCAGGGGAGAGAATGAGACTAAAATTAGTCCTCAAGTCTGAGAAAGAAAATCCAGAGACAACCCCAAAATGCACTGCTACACTCTGATAGCATGACCTCACTTTATTATCGAACTGCAACGAAATATAAATGCGTTTTATGCCCATGTGATCTGAGAGGAATGATTTCCTTGTTTTTTTATTGCCCTCTGTGTAATGCATTAGCATTTTCTTTGATGCACTTGAAAATGTCTCAAATGTGATTAACCTGCCTGCTCTCAGCGGTCGTCTGACCCAAAGTAAAAATACAGTGGTTAAATAAAAAATAAAAAAATTATATTTCTCCGTTTTAAAAAAGGTTATAAAAAATGTCAATAATTATCGATACCGAACGATATGAAACATTATATCGTTGATAGATCTTTTAGCTATATCGCCCAGCCCTACTTTAGGTACTAATTTGTACCTTTAAAGTGGAAGTGAAGCAGTCAGTTAAGTTAACATTATTTAGTAAAGTGATTTCCACTTCACTTTACCAGTGCGGTTTCTTCAAACCCTAATACTGCTCGGTCCCATCGCCGTATCGGCTCAAATGCATAGGCAATTGCACTTATTATGGACTTAACAGTGCTTTCAAGGTAATCTTCCTCCATTTCAAAACAAGCGTGTGTTCAAAATGTAAAGAAATGCTTCTATTACTTCACTGGCCATCGGAGCGAACCAACCCCGTGACGTCACACGCGGTGGTACTGCAAGATGGCGGTGCCCTTGCTCTAAAAGCTATAACAAAACATCCTTTTTTCTTTAAAATGGTTACATTAATCATGTTTGTTATATATTTTTTAATCAAAGTGGAAATCACTTTACTAAATAATGTAAACTTGACTGACTGCTTCATTTCCACTTTAAGGTACCAATATGGACTCTTTAGGTACAAAGGTGTGCCTTTTGAAAAGGTACCGCCCCAGTGACAGCTTCTGTACCTTTTTTTCTGAGAGTGTATAACCAAACTAGTGTGAGATTAGCTCATTTATGTAATATTATTTTCAGCCAAATCAAAGCTCTGTTTTTAGCATGATTGAACTGTTTTGTGTATCTGTGTTCTCTAGTGTAAGCACCTCCTGGCTGCCTGCCTGAGTCAGGCCATGGGTTTGTGGCAGCAGGAGCAGGTCTCAGATCAGCAGATGACCCACATTCTCTCAGGGCAAACTGAGGCCAGCACATAAATAACTGATCCTGGAGCAGAGAGAGACTCTGGTTAGAACACCCGTGCAGGAATATAGATATTTATAGTCATTAGAATGGACTCATCTTTTGGGAAATGTTGTGCATTTAAATTAAAACCCAGTATTTTTTTTAAAGAGAGATGATCTGTCGTAGAATATTAAAAATTGCTGTGAAAGTAAATAAATAAGCAGAGCTATGTCCCTAAATACCAGATGTTTGTGTATGCAAAATACTTTATCAGTTGCCAGAGAATGTACATCTGTTCATTGAGCACGATGGCGTTTATTTTTGGAGTTTCCGTTTGTTTGAAGGTTCGGCACCCTTGACTGACTCTCAGCAACAAACTATGAGACCACAAGGATAGTTTTGAACTATTAAACATTCAAGTAGCTGTATTTTATCATGCTTTCTAAAAAGAATAAATGAATGTCATAAGTTGTTTTTTACAGTATATATTTTGCATTTACTGTATATTTAGCATTTAATATACAGTATACATTTTGCCTTTATTCTGTTGTAGTCCTATTGTAATTCTAATTCTGTTGTAAACATCCTGTGGTCAAAACATGGCTCTTTATAGGGATTTTTGTTACAATATTTACAAGGTATCTTTTTTTAATCGAAAAGTTAAAGGAAGAGGTTTTGCTAATTGAAATACTAAAAATGAAAGAGAAAGAACACAGAAAGCAGAACATACTGAAATAGATGTATGGATGTAATGTGTCTTGCTCCACCTATGCTGATATAATGTATGTGTCAATTTCAGTTTCCACGTTTTGTGTGATTGCGTATCCAAACCTCATCTGTCGTCCTGTAAGATATTACTTCCACCATGTTCAGCGGAGGGTTTGGCAATGGAAAATAGAAACCTACATTGCATTGTGCAAAGTTTACAACCTGACTAGTGCTTGCTTGACAGTGACACTGGTTACATTTTCTGTCTGTGTACAATTCATATTGTATTATGATTCTGCACATTTATGGATGGCAAACTGTAGATAAACTAAGTATCAGTTTTTGCAGTGTGTTTTAGTGTTTAAGAATGTGGTATTTAATAATGAGATTATTAGTGTTTATAATTTAGGGAACTGGAATACGGTAACCGCCAAATGAATGAAAGCAGTATATCAGCTCGGCTAGATTCTTGGACTTTGTGGCTTTGGCTCTGGTAGAAGTGTGTTTATTTGAACAAAGGCTGCATGTGCAGTTTCTCACAACACACACATACAGACACACTTTAGTTCTGAATAAACGGCCGCTGATATTCAGCAGCACAGTTGAGCTGTGCTAAAACTGTCCAACTCTCATATAAAGAGGGCACAAAAGATATATAAACATCTTTTATTAATAAAATATTTCACCATACATAGAGATTTATTCATGTTAAATAACAAGACTCCATTTTGATGCTAAAGGTTTTTGTCATGAAACTATTTTCTTTCAACACATACAAGAGAACATCACCGTGTATGTAGATTAGTGACAAATACACACATCAAAAACATACACATTTAAAAGCACAAACTCTTTTCTGTTTGCTCCAAAGGCAAGAATAAAATTCAGGTGCACTTGACTGGTTAAGAAAAGGCCTTTTGTTTTACTGCTTTCAACAGAAAGTACTTCAGTAAAGGAATAAAACATCAGCTAACACAGTTGCAGTGCAGTACAGATTCGTCTCCATTGGAATGTCCAAAATGTCTGGCTCACTCCTTTAGTTTTAGCCCTTGCAAACAGTAACAAATATCTGTACATTTACATCATTTAGAGACTACAAAACACAAAAATACTGCTCAAGAACGGCTTTCTTCCCCTCAATAAATAGAAACCGTTGGCACAGCTGCGGTTGGGGAAGGCATGTCACTGTCAGGGACAAACACATCAGTGCATCTGTCAGCTTGAGTCTGGTACCAAAGGAATAGTTCACCCAAAAAGTATAGTATGAGGAGCTGGATTTTGGACCAATGAACATTCACTCTGGACAGGGTTACAGAAATAAAAATCAAGTAAATAACAAAATGTCTGCCAATCATCACAGTTATGGGGGGAAAAACACAAAAAAATCCCCTAAGATTTACTTTAGGATGACCATACATCCTCTTTTTCCCAGACATGTCCTGGAGGAGGACGTATGGTCACCCTAGTTTCACACCTGGACACAGTTACAATTCACGACCAAAAAATCACATACATACATTCCCTTGATTTCAAAATGACTTCTAAATGTGGGCTGATTAAATTATGGTCATGTTAGACCATACGCTATGTGTCCTTATTTTTAAAATGCTTCAGATAGCCAATAAACCAATAGCTACATTTACATGCCCTCAAATAATCCATTTATAATGGCCAAGTCGGACTGAAAAGCATTCATGGTAACACCTCAACTAATCTCAATGAGTTGGATTGAAAAAAGTGTAGACTCAAAATCCATTCAAAGGCTGCATTTACACTGCAAGTCTTAATGCACAGATCCGATCTTTTGACCATATCCGATTTTTTGGCCCGCCTGTTTACATTCACATTAGACACGACTGGTGTCTGATATCTGTGTTTAAATTAATTCCCGCCCAAAAGGATTGTCTGCAGTTATTGCTTCGCTTTACTATGCACATGGTAGACCCTCGGGTTTTGAATGGCCATGCTATTCAAATTATTTATATAATTCACATCGAGTGGCCATTATTATTTGCCAGCATGGACAACGGCTGTCATGGATGTTTTGCAGCACAAAATCTGACTGAACGGATAAATAAGAGAAAATAACGGTAATTTTCATTTGTTAGGCTATTTTATCTACAGCTCGTTAGAGGTAGAATTCTTTAGTGAAATAAAGTAGCGCCAAGATGATATTTATTGAAATGAATTCAAATTAATTAACGAGAATATATACTGAGAAATATAATGTAGCTTTTAGCTATTGTTTTTATATAATTCATGGGGCAGGGGTTGAAAACCAGCTCCTGAATGTACAATTGTTTACCTATATAAAGTTTCCATTTCAATAAAATGCGAGTGCAAACAGCACATCGGCATTAAAACACAATCTTTATGGGCAAACATGTCGCCCTCGCATTGGGAGTTCTGCAGGGAATCGGATATTTGTGTTTAGATGTAGGTCGGATGTCCAGATATCGGATATGTATCTGATTTAAAACCACATTTGGAAGTGGCTCAGATCGGATGCGAAAAAATCTGATCTCATGTGGATTTTTGTGTTTACACACGTGCAACAAATTCCGATCTGTGTCAGATGTGAGCAAAAAATCTGATTTTTTTGTGCCAGTGTAAATGCACCCAAAAGGGAACTCGGAATCGGGTATTTGAATCAGATTCAAAAACACCTTGTGCGGCGCAGTGCCATGATGCGAGTGTGTTTCATTACTACTTATTTCTTATAAACTACTAAAAAAGTTTGTCTTTAGTAGTTAAAAAAAAATGTCTTTTGACAGCTTTCTTTTTGGTTATGTCATCAAGGTAAAAAAAAGCACAACGATGCTCACTGTCGTTCCAGTGACTTTATCGCAGTGTCTTCAGTTCTGAACGGAGCGACCGATCGCTGCACGTGCACTGAAGTTTTGTGTGGAATGCGTGTAATGCACATGTAAACAAATATGTGAATTAGATTGCATCTTTTAGGGTTTATATAAACAGCTTTCAGAATCTTAAATCGGATTGCATTCATTCCGATTTACAAAAAATGAGTGCATGTAAATATACCTAGTGACTTGCGAGTCTAAAATCAGCTTATTATAAAAACCTAACAATGCAAAAAAAAAAAAATGAATCCAAAACAATCAAACATGCACAACAAGACATTGAATATTGAATAAACCATCCAAACATCAATACAGTTTTTTAAACAGAGCCAAACTGGAAAAAGTGCAAAAATGTTTGATGTTGCTTTAACTTTTTATGACCAATGCTCAATAAAAGAAGAGTTTAAGGCATTGACATGACCTACACTTGGTCTGGTTAAAGCATAACCTGACATAAAAAATGAGTGTAAGATGTAAATACACTGTACAATGTGTTTTAACAGGATCTCTTCAGATGACACACTAAATATAGCTTTATTTTGCCTATTTAACTGGACAGACATATAGTGGAGGGAGAAATAATTGGTGAAAGATTGGGATGAGGAAACCTACTTCTAAAATGGGATGACTAAAACCTACATCTCCAAGGCTCAATGTCTGAGGAGCATGTGCTCTAATCACTGTGCCAAGAGTTCTGAGCTTTTAATCATTTTATAATCATAATTGCGATTCGTCAAAATGTAGTCTAGATGAGCCAGTAAAGGCACTGATGAATGAAGAGCAGACCTCTCTCTAGATCTGTAGTTATACTGTAACGGTGGTTGGTGATTAATAGAAGAGAGTGGCAGTATTGACACTTCAGATTGTTATAAACTGTCCAGCTCTGGTGGTGACACTGTAAATCTCTCTCCAGAGGAGACAGTCTTTGCTCCAGGTCAGCTGCTGTTGGTTCGGTCTGGGTAGTTTGTCACAGTCAGACATTCAACAACAAACTGATTCCTAAGGGCTGTGACACATTAGCAGACAGAAATCTGAGGACACTGATATTACAGTGAGCTCCAAACGTCTGAGACCACTGTGAGAACCTGGGATTCAAATCTAATTTAACTTGCAAAAACTAATAAACAGGTTCTAAATTGAACGTTTTTTTTCTACTCTTTGAAAAAGTTTAAAATACAAGTTTAAACATAGAACCTGAGATAAAATGAATATTTAAGGTTCTGCACTATTTTTGTTTGCATATTAAGTAAGTATATGAGTGACATTGATCATGTGAGTCTGTATAGACAATCAGATGTTCTTTCAATGAAGCTCAAGATGTTCCTTGGTTCATTTCAAATCATACTGGAGAACATGATCATCAGGTTTGACAAACTTAAGAAGTTCATGCAGCTCAACTTCTGATAATATAATGAATAAGATAATACAATGCAGAGTATAAAAAAGGTATTTTCACTAGTTGTCTCAGGTTTTGGACGCACTGTGTAGATGCAAGAAAGAGAGTGTAATAGTCATTTAGTAACAGGCTGACCCAAAAAGTATTTGTACACTTCAGCAACATTTAAATATGTCTGAATGTAATTGCATTAGATAACAAAACATCAAGGTGGCATTTATTTTAAAGAAACATAGCTGTTTTTAGTTATAAACTATAAAACAATATGATATAAAAATTCAGACAGAGTATTATGGCACTTTTTGTTATGTAATGCAACACATTTTGAGGTGAGCCTGTCCAAATACTATTGGGGTAACTGTACAGTGTATCTGTGGGAGTCATTTTGGTCTCACATATGAACTTGGGTTGGGTTGGGTTAACTGAGCTGTGAATGGACCAGTGGTGCCTTTTGAAGAGATGAAAAGTTGGGTAATTTTTCATAATTGGCTGTGCACAAAATCGTTTTATGATTTCTTTCTATTATGGGTTCTTAAATTTGCTTTTACATTGTGTTCCTGAGCCGTCTAAACCAGCCGTCTCAACTGTAAAAAAAAAAAAAAAAAGCAACAAAAGGAACATACATTCAAGCATTCGGAAACGGTTTCTTTGTGTTCCTTGTTCCATGGTGGTGTATTCAGCTGATGTGCCTTATGAATTCAGCTTGTTCCTCTGGGCTGTTCTACAGACAAGAGATCATTAAAGATTTAACTAAAGCTGCCCAAAATTACCGTTTTCAATTACCGTTACCTACTTCATGTAGGTTTCTCATACATGGTTCAGTTCAGCACTTCAGAGGCTCACCGACCGCTCTTAGCTTTCATTCCTGCGCTAAGGCTTGACCTAAAGCTGCTTCGAAAGTCTCTTAGTGCTTGGAAATGCAATCTGAAATGCAGTATTTCCATATTTGTAGTGGTAGAGTTTTTTGTTTTTTTTTACAGTTCAATGTTAAATCCTCAAAATGTTCGATCGTGTCCACAATGGCTTCATGAAAAGTGGGCCCTGCTAGATATCATCTTAATACAAGATCATGCTGTTTGCAGTTCTTTGGTCTGTAAACATTTCTCTCATATATTTTGACAAATACATCTAAAGTAGAGGGTTGATGGTCATTGTAATCTGGTCTCTGTGACGGCTGCTTCCATTGGAGCTGCGATACAACTCGTCCCGTTGACAAAAGAAATGCCGGTTCAGAATCTTCCTAAAAGTGACTCTGAACTCCTGGATGCGGTAGGCGTAGATAATGGGATTGACGGCGGAGTTGGCGTGCGAGAGGATGATGGCGATGTTCATGATAAAGTTGTGCTTTTCCAGCTCGCTGTAGAACAGAGTGAGGCAGTTCAAGATGTGCACGGGCAGCCAGCAGAGAGCGAACAAGCCCACGATGATGGAGAGCGATTTGGCGGCACGAATCTCCCGCTGCAGCAGGCTGTGGTGGTGATTCTCACCGTTACTCACGCTGCATTTGAGCTCGATCTGACGTAGCTGTTTACGCGCCACCGTGAAGATCTTGACGTAAATGCCCAGCATGATGAGCAGAGGTGGCAGCACGCAACCGAAGAAGTTGAAGTACACCATGTAGCTCATGTCCACTACGTTCTCGAAGAAGCACTCGAGGCAGCAGCTTTGCAAGAAGCCCGTTTCCATCTGAGCGGCATCACTGCTATTGCTGGTCTGTATAAAGCTGCTTTCGTTTCTGGAACAGGCCAAGTCTTTACGGTTCCAGCCCACGAATGGAATGAGTCCAATGATGAAGGATAAGATCCATAAAATGGCAATGATCTCTCTTGCCATTTTCCCTGTGACAAGCTCCTTATACCTGTACAGATGAGTGGACGTAGAACAAAGATGATTAACTTGGCAAATTTGAACTTGGCTAAAATTTTGTCTTGTGATGGTTAAGTTCACTATACACTGGGGTCCAAAAGTCTGAGATCACTAGCAAAAATGCTTGTATTTTGAATTTACTTGCATTAGTCTGTACAAAGAGCCACATGATCAATGTCACAAATCTACTTTTTTTTAATTAGTGATCTAGAAATATTGCAGAATATTTTTTTCTTCATATTAAAGGGATAGTTCACCCAAAAATGAAAATTAGCCCATTATTTACTCACCGTCAAGCCATCCTAGGTGTATATGACATTCTTCTTTCATGATGAATCCAATCGGAGTTATATAAAAAATTGACTTTGATCTTTCAAGTTGTTTAATGGCAGTCAGCGGGTGTTGCAGTTCATCAGTCCAAAATAAGTGAAATAAAGCGCATCCATCCATAATAAAAAGTGCCTCACACGGCTCCGGGGGGTGAACAAAGGCCTCCTGTAGCGAATCGATGCGTTTTTGTAAGAAAAATATCCATATTCAAAACGTAATAATCACTTTAATTAATTCGTGACCGTTGTTTTGTTTTGATCTCTCCGCAGCGCTTCCGCGTGCGTCACTTCTGAGCAGCACATGCGCAAAGCTGACCTCATATGTCATCTGCCCGGAGCTGCTTCCGTGTACAACAGTAAGTGCAAGCTAGATTAAATTGATTATTACGTTTTAAATATGGTCATTTTTCTTACAAAAACGCATCGATTCGCTACAGGAGGCCTTTGTTCACCCTCCGCGGCCTTGTGAGGCACTTTTTATTATGGATGGATGCGCTTTATTTCACTTCTTTTGGACTGATGAACTGCAACACCCATTGACTGCCATTAAACAGCTTGGAAGATCAAAGCCAATTTTTAATATAACTCCGACTGGATTCGTCTGAAAGAAGAAAGTCATATACACCTAGGATGCCTTGAGGGTGAGTAATTCATGGACTAATTTTCATTTTTGGGTGAACTAACCCTTTAAGACACATTTCTATGGAAGCTTGTTTCTGCAATGGGTTAAAAAACAAATAAATAAAAAAGGCAATTGCAACTTTTTACATCACATTCCCCCCCCCCTTTTATATGTTTTATAGTTTATATCTCACTCAATCAGAATTCAGAGTTGCTAGATATAAACTCACACTTCTCGGAAGTCGGAATTGTGAGATAAAAAAGTAACATTATTTTTTATTCCACGGTGGAAACATAATTAGAAGATGTAAATTCAGAATTCAGAGACAAAAATCTAAATTGCAAGATGTAAACACGGAATTATGAGGGGGAAAAAAGTTGAGTTTGAGTTTATATTTCACATATCTTAGTTTATATCTCTCAATTTTGTGAGATAAAGTTGCAATTATCTTTTTATTTATGTTTTTTTATCCTGTGGTGAAAACAAACTTTCATACATTTTTGCTTTAAATTGATCCAAATTCTAAAACTTAGTTTATTTCCAGGTTTAAATTGCATTTTGAATCTCAAATTTCAGTTTGCTCCTAGAATTTTGGATCCCACTGTTTATATATTAATTTCATTAAATAGCAAAAACTTTCGGCCTCAGAGTGAAAAAATATATATGCATCATCTATTCTGAGGCAGGGCTTCCATATAAAACAGCCGATGCACTGTTCAAAATAAATAAATACACTAACAAAAAGAAAAGGCTGTTTGTGGTTGTCATTGGGGATGTTCATTTCGGTTATTTTTCCTAACCGACAACCGACGCTCGTTAACCGTTAACTGACAAGATTATTTTAAATTAGAATTGAATTAAATTAGAAAGGATAAGTGTCTGTGACCTGTTAAAAAATACGAACACCTGTGTGAACTTGAGGAGAACTGACTTCATACATCCACTAACAATCACTGCAACACCAGCTAGTTAAAAATCTTTGCAAAAAAGTAAGTTCTGACGAAAGCTTGTGCATCATTTCTTTGCACTAGCCATTAGCTTTATGTTTTGTATATAATGTTATAAATCTGATGAACGTTTGTGTTCAACTACTTCTTGAGGTCACTGTATTTGTATATATAGTAGGTTGGAGAGGGCAAACGAGTGAAGGGGAAGAGAGCTTCACATAAACACTGAAGTGACTGATGGCTCAAGCTTTCACTTGGAGGCTCTTCATCAGGCATCCTCAGACAGCTCTGATTCTGCTTCTACTGATGCACTGAAGTGAGTAATGCCTGAGGTGCATTATTCATCACACCAACCACAACCTTTCTCAGAAAGACCTGGGCTGCCACAGCCATCAGTGATGCTGACCCAGTGACAGATAGAGGGAGTTGGGAAAGCACTGACAGATAACATCATGTTGGACCGCAGGTAACGAACTACATTATCTTATGCAAGCATGATTACGCAAGTCATGATTCCAGTTCGAAGGGAGCTTATATGTTCCATTCGAAGGGCATTAAAGTGTGCGAGACATGAATTTAAATTGTATTTATTTACAAAGGTACATTATGTCATACTTCACACTTCTCTAGTAAGTTTTGTCTGTGTGTGAAGACGCTGCAGTCGGTGGCGTAGCACAGATTCGTGAATGAATGTTCCAAAGTGAAGTAAACGTCAACAGATTTCCCGTGCTCAGGGAGTAAAGAGCAATGAACACTGTGTAGGGACCCTGTCAAGAGGAACACAGTTCATGCATGGAGCTCTCCTCTAAGGAGCTGGTTATCTGAAAAATGTAAAATCAATTTTTATTAACTTTTTTTTTTTTGAAAAGGGCGCAGGAATTGACAGTATCATGGCTCAACATGAAGAGCATGTGCACTTACTGCTAGGCCATTACTTTAACTTCTAGTTGTGCAGATTATTTTCTCCATCCTTGGCATTTTTGTAGCACATTTAATCCGTAGGCCTATTCTCTCATTTTTCTTTCTCCAGATGCAAGGACACATGATGTCATTGCATTTAGCTCCAAGAGCACAGTCTCCTTTTGTTGAACACTTCTTTCAGCTTTAACACGTTTTTCTCTTTCTCAACGCCAGCTCTCCTCTACTCTCAGGGCACATGAATGGAGGAAAGAGTGGATTAGTTGTGGCATGACAACAACCGGCTGGCATCCCCATCTCTCTCTCTTTCACCCCTTCATTCTATTCCACACAAAAATCCCTCCTCTATCCCTTCCGTTCTTCAGCTGCCTCGCTTCCGCTTTAGACCACAGAGCTCTGCCAACAGGCTCCAGTTTAAGTAAAAACAGTTGACACAATGGCTCTAAAGGGAGAAGGTCTCAACGGCTTTGCTCTTAACACGTGTGAGCAGGTGCATTAAAACAATAGTTCACTACATAAAAAAACAGCATTCCAGATATGTTGGAATAAATGGGAAAGGTATGGCTTATTAGATATTATGACAGTGTAAATGCATTAAACTAAAATTTTTGTTTTTCTAAACATGTATGACTTTCTTCTGGGGCATGGGTTATTATCGTTAATTAAAACAAAAATGCTACTAATATTTTTGTTAATTGAAATCGAGCTGAAGGAAATAAATGGAAATAAATACTAAAACTCCCCACTGACTTTCATTATAAAGGCAAAAACATTCTATGACAGTTAAAATTATATAAATTATCTTCTTTTGTGTTACACAGAAGAAAGTCATCAATTACAGCATTCCACTTCCTTTGGAATGCCGAAGAAATTTGATTAGTAGTCCTAAATTCTCAGTGTCACTAATGGATTTTTTCCCCACTATTTAAAAAAATCAGTACGTTGACCTGTAATGCATCAGTAGTTCATCAATCCACTTTGTTCTCAGTTATTTATGACTCAATAAAAAACATTAAATGAGTAGTTCATCCAAACATGAAAATTCTGTCAGCATTTACAAACCTTCATGTCATTCCAAACCTGTATGACTTTCTTTTCTTTTTTTTTGCAGAAAACAAGAGAAAATATTTTGAAGAACGTTGGAATTTTGATACTTTTGTGAGCCATATAAGAAAGTAAGTCATACAAGGTTTGGAAAGACATGAGGGAGAGTAAATGAACTATCCCTTTGAAGAAAAAAAATCTCAGAAGCATCTGGTTGTATATTAAAAACTAGGGGTGCTCCGATTGATCGGCTACCGATCACTATCGGCCGATAATCACGTTGGGATGTTTGATCGGCGGTCTCTAAAAAGGCCGATCTCAAGCTGATGACGCTATTGTGTACTCACCTTCATATTTTTTCATTAAATAACTTATAAAGTAATTTGAAAACCTCGTGTGAGACGTAATTTCACAAACAACGTGAGTGAATCACCGCGCGCGCGCTCTCTCTCTTTCTCTCTCAAAATACGCAAATGGCTTCAAATCACCACACATCGCGTCTGTCTATAAGCGAGCTGCACGCTGCACAGTTGACACAGGAATTGTCACTTGCACAATCGAGGCAGTGTCACATCGTCTCTAAAGTTTATAAATTGCATTACTTTATTCTTGCCAGTGTTTAACCATTCAGCGCATGCGCGCTCTCCTGGAGACTGCGCTCATGCACACTTGCAACGCACACACATAATGCCAGGTTCACATTACTCTGTTTGCAGTGCATAGGTGGTGCATATTTTTTCCGCGCTCATGTTAACGGATTAAAGCGTTCACACTGCACACAGTTGTATTCCAGCAGTGTGTTCAGAAGTGGTGCGTCTGCAGCAGTGCAGAGATCGTTTCAGTCTATTGCTGCACTGCAAGCGCTGAATTAAAGTAACATCGCATTGTTTGCAGTAATATGAACATGGAGTGACACGAAAATTTAGTAATTGCACCATAAATGCATATTATTAAAGTCTACTGTGTTTCACAGTCAACACATATGGCTTTTTGGCTAGGTTTAAAGGGAAAGAGCACTTTTAGATAAACAAGGCAATAATAGATGGCACTCGTGGAGGTAGGAAAACAAAGTTCTTTATGAACCGCAGGATTGCTTGTAATAAAGATTTAAATGCAAAAGAAAAGGCAGTAGAGCTGACTATATCTGTCAATGGTAAGTTTGTGATAACATAAAGTAGTTTAAATATTTTGCCACTTGCTTGAGCAAAGGCCCTGAATAAATGTCTAAAAATCCTGATTGGAGTATCACTATAAATAGGTATAAATGATCAAAAGAAGGCTTTAAAAAGATCGGTATCGGCAGATACTGCTTTCTGTGATCGGCCTCAAAAATCCTGATCGGAGCACCCCTATTAAAAACTCATTGTATGGTTTTCAAACAGATTGCACCACTAAAAGGGAAAGTCCTGCCATTAACCACCTGTTATTATTTAACAGTATAACCAGTGACTCTGAGGAAAAAGATGCTCTAGGCCTCTTTTGCTCAACAGTGGAAAGACCTTCTGATTCAAGCCCACACTTACATTTATATAATAGCGGACTACTGTTTTAGGAAACGTGAACCCTATTTAGATCTTTCAGTCAGTGGACATGTAGCTAAACATAGCCAGTACTGAGATTTCATGTTTTTACACGGGAAGAGAGATGGAGAGAGAAAGGCAGATGAGCGGAGTATGTGTGCATGAGAGAGAGATGAGGTGGTCCAGTCAATGAAAGCCGAACGGGGAATACTGTCTGGCAGCACAGTGAGGAAACTTAGTTTCTCTTGGATCATCTACTGACAGCCATGCCAAAACCCTGTATTTCCAGTAAATACAGCGTAACTAGAAACACGTTCATCTTGGCCATGAAATGGTGAGAGTAATGCCGAGTTCACACTGCACGATTTTCAAACTCGTCGGATCGTTGTTGTTTTCACACTGCGTGACTATCTGGGGTAGCATTCAGTTGCTGCTGTGTTCACATTGCACGATGGATCGGCGACAGGGGGTTTCCAACATGACCACCCAGGATCTGAGATGATTTGGAGTACACTGAATTGCTTTATCATTAAAGTCACCTACTGTAAGCATTTTCTTATTTAACAGTGTTTGTTGGCTGTGGAAGTGAAACCCAAGTCCTAAATATTCAGTCTCATAAGTGTGCTTCAGTAATTACATGGCATGAAGCAGAAAGAGAATGCATGAAATTACCCATGCACGCTTGTTTGTGTATCAGTCAGTCAATGTGTAATTCCTTTTGTTATTCTTTTCTTCTTTCAAGTGGTTTCCATTCATTTTGAAGAATGATGGCACAAGTGTCACTCAGCAGTGTAAAAAGATGTCTCCCTCTCTAAAATGTGAACTTAAGGCTTGACAACATTTCAATGTTGAGCAGTTTAACATTCAGATTTTACAAGATTACGCCGTTCATATCGTTCAAATGAACCTAATGCTGCTTTGTCATTCCTTTTTTTCTGTCACGTAATGCGTGCACTCTGTAGGTGTTTTGAATTGTTGTTTTTTTTGCGTCGTGAGAATATTGAGCAAAATAGCTCACTTGTCATGGTGTTACTTAACTATATCATGTTATGAATAAACTAAACATTCAGAATTTTTACCTCAGTGTGTTTCTTCTGAGTTTATGTGTACTGTTACGCTCATTTGTTATGAAGACTCCCAAAGAGACAAACAGAGTGAGCCTCAGCGCGACTCACCTCAGGGGGATTTTTACAGCCAGATATCTGTCGATGGCAACCGCCAGAAGACTAAATATTGAACTTTGAGTCAGTACCAGAACGAAACACGCCAAGAAAAGGCATCCATAGAAGTCTGAGCGCAGACCAATGCTTATAGTGATGGCAAAAGGGATGGCAAGACAGCCAACCAGAATATCTGCCACGGCTAGTGACACCAGAAAGTAATTGGTGGCGTTCTTGAGAGTGGAGTTGATGGCCACAGCCCAGCACACCAGCACATTACCGGAGATTGACAGTACGGCGATCACCAGCTCAATAGCGATATACAGCGAATCCATTGCTGCACACTTCACTGAGAAACACCTCCAGACAGTAGTTAGGATGTCATGAGTCTGTCTGTCACGCTGTGCTGCTTGTCCAGTTTTAAAAGAACCAATTTGCAATAATCCACGGATATCCAAAGTTTGTGATTTGCCAAAACGGCCATCTGTTGATTAAAAAACAAAACTGCGTTATTTGTACTCACTCTCTGGAGAGAATTATTCAGAAGCATTAGAGGCAGATAAAGACGCAGTGTTTTCTTCCTCACAGATACCTAGAAGTTCCCACTGACGAGCAGAAACTTATTCCAGAAAGTCACAATAATCTGTGATTTTGGATGAGGTGGAGTTACTTACCCTCATTTCAGAGGTGTTTTTTTATTGTTTGACGTCTTGTGGTACATGTTGCAGAAGCGGCAGTGCAGTAGTCTGACGCACCGCGAGCGCAACACATGGCTTTTCAAGCAGCTCGCGGAAAACAGCCGGAGAAAAAGCCTGTCCATCACAGCTCGAGCCACGCCCAGCCGCGCACCACCCCTGCTCAAATGATTGGAAATGAGCAGTCTCAAATACAACACGCATTTAGGACTGTCCGCTGACAACTATGATAAAGAAGAATAGACGATAAAGAAAAAAAATCTAGTCAAGCAAGATTTGCCTTTCCTTAAAGAAATTATAATAACTGGACAGCAGATAAAGAATAGCGTTAAAGTAAAATCATAGTAAGAGAAGTTGAAGCTACACACAAATATAGGCTAAACAAATGGAGAGGGAGATATAGATATGATATTTAATAGAATGCAACAGATAGGCAGCTTCTGTGGTCTTTTGCATTCTAAACTCGTTTTTTTCAATTTTTACAAAGAAAGAACGATTACGATTATGCAAATATACAAAAGACCAATCAGAATTCAGTGTCCAATCATAGTTCACGCGATTTGAATGGCGAATATTCTATCAATGGCTTCAATATGATTTTTAAAAAACAGTTTCATGATGAATATAATGAAACTTTAAGAATAATTAATTACCTGAGGGGGGAAAAGGTGTGAATGGAGTCGCTTCAGTGAGTTTGGGCTAAATTAATTGCAGATGTTCACTTGGTTTAATGCAAACTCCTACTGGAAAAAGTGAGAAAGGCTTGCCATGTTTACTCGTCTGTTTATCTGCCCTTTAAGATAGATTCTATTTTTGTCCTTATTGACATTTTACATTGATTGAACTTATCTGTGTGCTTTGCCTATAGATGTTTTGTCTGATTTTCTGAAAATTGAGCATGTAGTATTTCTGAGAAGATCTTGGTATGTGAGAGTAGTGAGTAAGGGGCAATATTGTGTAATTGCCAAAGATTTACAACGTGGACTCTGTTTATCTCGAAGTCTGTAGCCACACACACATTTCAGCACATCATTTTAAGGGTTTGTGGACCTATAAAACCCGGTGCCATTATGACTCCTAAATTGCACAGTTCACTTCTGCATAAATCACATGGCAGGAGAGATAATCTGAAAATATATTAGCATTTTGTGAATGAATATATTGTAGGACATTTGTCTCTGAGATTCTGTTCTGCTCTAATAAAGGTAAAATTTTAATATTACCTATAATATTACAAACAATATATATATATATATATATATATATATATATATATATGATGGCAAAAACCTTTATTACCATTATCATCAATTAACAATCTTCTATCATGAAGCAAAACTGAAGTTTCAAATAGAAAAAAAAGAGCCCTTTGCAATCTAAATATTTAAGAGGAAAGAATCAATAAATAGCATTTCCAATAAGAAAACATTTGAAAACACAGATGCTGTTTTTGTATGTACTGACTTTACTTCTGTTGAGAGAGAATTTATTATCAATTGTCCATGCTTTTGAATTAACAAAGAGGAGAATTTGGCACAAATTACACTGCTGACCAGCCTAAACACATTCTTGTGAGAGTATTTTTCCAATATTGATACTTTTTTAAACATTGTTTCAAACCTTTTGTTTAAACACATCTCATGTAATTTAAACAGGCACAAAAAGCATTAAAGAATCAATGGTTGTTTGAAACGGTCTTATAATATTCAATCAGACATTGACTTTCTGGGATTTTTCAGGAAATAACTAGAGTAATATAGAAATAATCTTAGTGTTTGTTAATACGGAATACGTAAATGTGCAAAAGTGTTAAATAATTGGGACATTTTTAAAGTTTCGTTGGTTGTTGTCTCTCTGAGTGGCAAACTACAACTTTTCAACAAAACAACTTATTTTCATACTTCAGGTTTGACGTCTTACCAACACGTATTACAAGTCTTTGAATTTATTTGTGGGATAAATACAATTTTAAAAATACTTTATAAGTATATCAATATATAAGTATGTCAATATATAGATTTGGGTAATAATACTCTCTAAAGATTAGCAGCTACACTTGTACTCTTAGCAAACATTTTGCATACTAAAAACTATACCAGTTTCAGTGCAAGATTGCAAACCTTCAAAGCAACTTCAAACTTCAAAAACTGAGTTAGGTCTATATGACACGAATTGTAAGGAAAAGAAAAGTTGTTTGAGACTTGAAGGATTGTGTGTTTGACTATTAAACTGATGATATGCTGGTTGTATTTAGAGAGAGAACCTGACTGTGTGAACACTACAGAACTGTGTGTGTTTGTATATTTAGAAACAATGTGAAGGGAGAACTGGACCAGGCAAATAAAAGTGCTTCTGTGCCCTCATCTTCATCTTCCTCTTCCCTTCTTCCAGTCAAAAATTAAGTCTCAAAGTACTTATAGATCTGAGATACATATTGCATGACACTTTGCCAGTCCGGTCGGTCTGTGTGCATCAATTCATCGATGTCCTAAAGAGAGAGCAGATGTAGAAGTTTAGATGTAGGAAATACTTTTACACATTTTCATGCACATTTCTTTAACTGTGAGCTTAAACATTGTTTATTTTTTATTTTTTTACCCTTGCCTTAGACTTGCATTCTTAAACTATAAAAATCCATCTTAAAAATATTGTAATTTTATTAAATATGATGATCTGAAAAAGGAGTATTCACACTATGTATTGTGTGAAAATATTTTATAACAGTTTTTCTGACAGTTGCGGTGTTATTTCCACCACAACAAACCATTCTGGCCACCATCAAGCTATCCAAGATTTAGATGAGTTTATCTCTTCTTTGGAACAGATTTGGAGAAATTCAGAATTACATCACTTGCTCACTAATGGATCCAATGGATGCAGTGGATGGGTGCCGTCAGAATGAGAGTCCAAACATCACAATAATCCACAAGTAAAACACACGACTCCAGTGAAGCAAGAAAAAACCCTGCATGTTTGTAATTAACAAATCCATCAAAAATATGTTTTTAACATTAAATCTTTGCTTCTGGCTAAAATATGTGTCCTCTATCCATAATATTGTCTTCTCCAGTGAAAAAGACATCTCATCTGAATCAGGAGAGAAATATGCACAGATCAAGCAACGTTTGCAAGCAAAAACAGTCCAAAATAGTTCTAAAATATGTTGGTGGATTTTGATGTAAGAGAACAACAGGGGATGGACTTTTACACTGAAGAAAGCATTATGGATTATTTTGGCAAGAAGCAACAGTTTAAAGTTAAGACGCTTTAATGATGGATTTGTTTCTTGAAAACATGCAGCTTTTCACATTACAGGATGTTAATTGATTGACTGGAGTCGTGTGGATTACTTGTGGATTATTGTGATGTTTTTATCAGCTGTCTGGACTATCATTCTGATGGCACCCATTCACTGCAGAAGATCCTTTGGTGAGAAAGTGAAGTAATGCTGAATTTCTCCAAATCTGTTCCAATGAAGAAACACCCTAATCTATACCCTGGATGGACTGAGGGTGAGTAAACTTTAAGCAAATTTTAATTTTTGGGTGAAATAAAGTTTCATTAAGAAGAGCATGCTTGAGATGAAATATGAAGCGTGTCAAGTGATGTGTAAAGAAAATTTATAGAAATTAAGGTAAATATTACTTGAAGAGAATATTTTTGCTGTGCATCATTTGCAATCAAGCTGTAAGATTGTAAACATTATACAAAAACAGTGAAAATATTATGAATTGTAGGAATTAAAATAATGAAATTAGCCTCAGCGAAGACTCGGCAACAACAGATTTAGAATGTTAGAAATGTCATTTCCATCACAAAATGATATTAGACACAAAGCATCATTTGAGATGTGGTAGAAATGACACTGGTGAAAATGTTAAAAATGACACAAATAACAGACAAAAATAGAGTTCTCCTGGGATGCATGTGTATATATACACACAATATTGTACACACATTAAACAGAGTGTGAATAGTAAGTTTTGTTTTCTAAAAGTCCACAGGTCCAAAAGTCCCTATATTTGAAGAAACTTCCTCATAAATAATGTACAGTTGATATATGCAGTTGATTGCACTAAAGGAACAAGATCACACTTTACACATTATATATTGCGTTATATAATTAAAAACCCCAAAGGACAAAGGTAGACAAGTTTCATTCATGAACCGCCAGAGGTTGTGTCATTCATAAACTATTCAATTCTCCTCTAAGAAAAAGCAAATCAGCTGGATGTAGGAATTTCCAGTCATTCGTTAGTGTTGTTGTGGGGAGATTTGGGGATGAATGTTTTAAGACAACAGGGCAAAGACCTTCACTTTAACATCATAACCAGTAAGAGGTCACAATTATCACGTCTAGGACCCAGTTGCATCACATCCACACACACACACACACACACATATTTTGGTAAGGAAGTTAATAACACCGATCTCAGCTGGAGTTCTCAAATTCTCAGCCAATCCACCAGAGTCATCCACATAGTATATATGTAGAGTGTGAAAATTCTTCGAGGTTGTTATATTATAGGCTTGACAATCATCAAGTACCACAGAATTAAAGGAACAGTTCACCCAAAAGAACCTTGTGTGTGTACCATCTCTATGAAAACAACCTCTTGGTAATGTTGACTAACTGTCTTTATATTCACATCACAATTTCCTCCTTGTGTCTACAGTATGTTGGGAGAAGTGAACTCCTGACTGTGAAATTTTCCTGTCATAGTATCTATGGGTGTGTAGGAACCTA